ACAAGAGGAAGACAGGATTACCAGCAGTAACCCAAGGCCTATTCCTACAAGGCCAGACATGCTGCCTCCCTCCAGCCCTTTCACCAACCGTTCCTCCGAAAGCACCTACCACCTCGCTCCTGGGTTCGATAATTCGCTGCAGTGGCCACACAGAGCTCACAGATTATGGGGTTTATTAGGGAAGCACCACAGGCTACAATTCGAGTGCAGGAAAAATGCTCAGCCTCTCTCCCAGCCCACCATCTCTCAGCCAACAGTCTCTCATAGTCTCTTTCCCAGCAGTGCTGGTCCCTCGGTGTCTCACTCAGCAATGCGTGTCTCTTGCGTCTCTTTCCCAGAAACGCATGTCTCTTTCAGGGGCGCGTGTCTCTTTCGGCAACACATCTTCCTCCACCAGCAGTCAGAGAGTTCTGCCTCTAGGAGGCCTCCTTTTGAGCCCGGCAGGGTGGTCAAACTAGCCAATTATAGCATCAGAACTCTAAGCACCTGAGAGAAAGTGGGCACCTCCCAGAACATTGTTTTGTGCCACTCCCAACAGAAATACTCCAGGTGGACAACTTCAGCAATCAGGAGCTCTTCATTTGCTCATAGCAAATCCCACCTTGGAGTTTACAAAGACTTATGGGTTGAAAAGCCACACACAGTAATTTACTATACTGCAGCTATACACCTGGGAATTCTGATTATTTACATCAACTTAAGGACCATTGTCTGCCAACTCTATATATGTTCTTGGATACTCTCCCCATTTCATAGACATACCTAGTCGTTTAGCCTGTCCACCCATCTATTCACCCATATACCTGTGTTTGCCTTCACTGACAACGCAGTACTGTATGTGCAAAAGGGTTCATACTTGTTGTCTGTACCTCCCATGTACCTCTCTATGTCTTTCTCATCCTCAGTGGTATCATATTGGTCACTCACATTTGGTACATTGCCCTTCTCTTCACCCAAATCAATACTTATCTCTATCTATCTAACAGCCTTCCCTCCCCTCCCCTCTCACCCCTGGTAACCAACAAAGAAAATTTCCTTCTATAGATAAACCTTTCCTTAACTTTTACAATAACGGACTAATAAAATATTTGTCCTTTAGTGATTGACTTATTTCACTCAGCATAATGTAATATTCTATTCTATCTTGCAACTCTCTTAACTTCCTCACCATTTAGAAGTTCTGTAACTACAGAGTCTTTTCCCTCTTTTTGTTTGTAGTTGTCCTCACTTGCCAATTGATGTCTCTGGTTCCCTGTTTACAATCTTGTAAATTCATTTTACTTTGGGT